AATACAGTTTGAATTTGCTTTTCCTAGAATAGAAAGTAGATTGAAAGGAATTATCAAATTACTTGAAGTCTTTCTTATCTTTTTTGTCTAAAGTTTTCTGTCCTTTGCAAGCACACTCTTAGGCAAGATTTGTCGGTAACTTCTGATGGGGTTGGTTCCTCCCTGCAAGTTCCCTGTGGCTGCTGTCTTGTCTTTGTGAGCCTTTCCATCTGTCTTCAGCAGTTCTTTCTCCTCCTTCATCCACCCACTTCACACTTTGACATAAACATCTCTGCCCCAGATGACACTGTATTGCTAAGCTGACAGCATGTGACTAATATTATGTTTGTTCATAAATATGCCTCATCAGCAATTACATTCTTCTGTGAGATACTTATCTGTGAGTTGGAGTGGCATAAATCTAGAGTACACAGCAATAACATGAGTTTTAAGGCCTATCAGCTGTAGAACTTGTATTCCTTCCTTATAAAAGATGTAGTAAGGTATCCTCATCTTTACTTTTTCATCCTGTTCCTATAACCAATGCACTATAAACTAGCATAAAAATTATTTTATCAATGTTTCTTATTTTGCAAAGGCGGGAGAACTCTTGCCCTTCCCCTGTTTATTGTATGGCCTCATCTTAAAATTAAGGTGCAGATGGAGAGAAGGGAGTGCTTGCTTATTGGATTGATTTCATACTTACTATGTGACATAGCTTTAGTCCCCAGTATTTCTGACAAGGACCTATGCTGATGTTAACCAGGCTCCTTAAAAACTGAACGGGCACTTAAGTCTGAACTATTTTAACATCAGTAGAGCACATAGATAGCAATTCTAGCCTAACATTGAGCATGGATGTTTCTTTGATGAAGGCAAAGATGGAGAGCTGACCACAACTACTTGCCATGCAGACACTGTGCCAAGGACAAGGTAAGGCAGATGATTTCAGGAACTTGCAGCACAGTGACATATTTAAGATAAATGTTCCAAGAGTTACTAAAATAAACTACTGTGTCTATACAGCACTGCATTTTATGTGACAGCGTGCTGTATAGCTTAATGTAGATTGGACTACGATAAGGCTGTTAGTAAACAGTTCACTTCCAAGCAGCGAGTTGAACAAAATGGAAAGTTCACCTAATTTTCTGATTAAGTGTTTGAAGGTTATATAAAAGAAATTTGTTCCAGCTTTGAAATGACCTTGGCAGTTATTAGTTGTCAGACTGCTTTTTTGAGGGTTACAAGCCCAGCTGCTTCATAAAGAAGTAGTCTTTCTGGATATGTGACATGTTTGAAAACCAGATTTCATCTTTTTCCAAAATTCTCCATTGCTAACAGTTAAATAGACTGTTGTGGGGCTTGGGTTCAATTTCTCCTGGCATTACCCACATAACGCTATACCAGCATAATTCATGTGTCAGAGGACCTTAGAAGGAATCTTACTGTTCTACTTATTGACACAAAGAATATCAGGGTACTGCTGAAATCACTGGAGTAACCAAGCTGGGTTTTGAGAATGTTAATCTTTTTAACAACTTTGGCCATTGCCACATAGGCTCACCTGTGGATTTTGGAATTGTAAACCTTTTAGCTATTCCATGAGGATGCCAGGCTGTAGAAAAATAAAATATTTGCTTTCTTTATTCCTTACTCTTCAGTATATTTGTTTTTCCCTAATTCCTTGCTACTTCACAAAGGAAACTAAATCTAATGGTGGGTGATGATTTAGCGTCTTACCAGCTTCTGTTGTGCAAGTATAATCTGGCTCATGGTAGAAGAGTTTTTCTGAAGAGTATATTTATTTTAAGCTGTGGGTACAAGATAATAACTTGGCTGACAATGGCTTATGATGTGTAAAAACTTGCCACATTTTACTCTTGCCACACTTTCCTGAAGAGAGGCAGTATGTGGCTGTTGAGGTTTTACTGAATTCCCTGTTCAGCGTTTCCAGTTCTGTATTTAATCTTTTGAACTGCAAACTGTGTTCAGAGGAAGAAGCAATAGTAATTTGTCAGGGTTTATAAAGTTGCTCATTGATTAAAGTTGCATCCATATGCATAGGGATTTATGTGGGCAGTAGTACCACACAGCAGTATTAACCATTGCAACTGCTGTAGAATTGCATAGAAATTGGACCTATAAGATCATGTTCTGATAAGTTAGACTCCCAAGAATGTGGACACTTAATCATTTAGAATATTCCTTGCCAAAATCTAGATTGAGTTTATTCTTATCTTGCAGCTGCAGAAGTTTTTCAGAGCTGTAAGTACTTCGGAAGTCTGCAGCCACTTGGAAACAGAACAATTAATGTCTTCATTGCATTGAATTTTCTGCTACCTGTGTCATTCCCAAAGCACAGCAGCATTCATGAGCAAGGTATTTTACCTACTAATACCTAACCTGAATTTTATACGCTTAATGCAAATTCTTTTCATCTACTGTAGTTTCAGCTGATGAGGCTAGACGTTTTTAAAAATTATTAACCTGCATTCAAACATTTGCTGCATATCAGGTAGAGGGAAGAATTTTGAATAGAGATCTTTTATAACAGTTTTTGAGATCTAATCACTGGGAGGGGGGGGGGGG